TAATTCAATTTGTCGAATTCTTCTAAACTGAGGTTTAGAGAAATCCGGTGTTTTCCCTTTATTTCCTCCAGTACTAGAAGCTGTGTTTGCTGCTGCGGGTTTAGCCGCAGAGTCTCCTGTTTTCTTCTTTGGGCACGTTCTGCCCCAATGTCCTGGTTTGCCGCAAATGTAGCATACACCCTTTTTCTGCGCCTCCTGCATACTCAAAGCATTGCCCTTCTGTCGCTTCCTTGGATCAGGAGTGCTCCTTTGGTGTTGAGTTTGTCTGGAGCCAGACTGCTTCTGTTTGGATGTATTATCTACCTCCATGGCGTTTGGATCTTTATATGCCGGTCCCATTGAAGATACAGATTGATGAATATCCATGTCTTTGCAAATGTCGAGTACGTAATCACAGTACTCCAACCATTTCTTGGGCCATTGGGAACTTCCCCTTGCCGCAAGGACATTTTTAATCTCTCTGTGCAATCTATCTCTGATTGCAGCGATTAATTCATTATCTGTTGACTTCACGAGGTCTGCCAGGCCTCTGAATTCCCCAATAAACTTTGCAGTGTCAACTGCTGCAATCTTGTCATATTTCCTGAGCATTTTCAGGAATTCCTGACGTGCATCTTCTTCTTGATCTGTTATCGTAAAAGCCCTTCGTATTTGGTGTAGGAAATCTTCATATTTCCCCAAATCTTTGGAGTCTTTTACCATGCGATAATAATTTCCGGCCACTACATGGGCACAGCCTTCCAACAAAGCAAGTACACCAGTGATTCAGTCTCTGTCCGAAGTCACCCTTTGGTGTGCGTACCATATGGCCAGTTTTTCAACGAACTGTTCAAAGGTCTGTTCCTTTGAGTTGTTTGCAAACCTTCCTGGTTGTGCAATCCTGAACCTCCTTTCTTCTTGTTCTTGCGACATCTGTGTCGCTGGCTGTTGTGCCACTTGTGCTACATGTTGATTTAATTGCTCTACGAGCGAATTATAATCTGTGCGCAATTGTATGTTTGCATTCTCGACTGCAGCCAGGTGAACATCGGCAGCGGTGATTTCATCCTGTTGGTCCAAAATCTTTCGCTCCAATCGTCCTGTCTGTGTGAATACATCCTTGAAGACCCTTTGAACTTCTAGTTAGAGCGATCTGGTGGTAGAATCTAGTATCTCCTTCCATGCTCGTCTAGTAACTTTATTGCTTTCTCCTGGATAGTATCTTGCTATTACACGCTCGTTGATTTGAGGGTCTAATAGATACCAAGATAGGTCGGGTTCGATCCCAGCCATTGGTATGGGTGTAGAGGATGACGACATATTTCAATTGCAATGTAGATGGTACAATTTTGTAGTAAGCATCCTTGGTTTACTACTGACGTCCGATTGATTAAAGATAAAAAAACTTCAGAGCATGTTATTCCAAATAACACTGTCTCTGCCCAACTCCGCGTGATCACTTTCCTGCAATATCTCCTTCACTAGTCTTCCGAGGTTCCTATACCTCACGTCACCAAACTTGTCTCTGACTCGATTTACAAACTGCACAAGTAACCTTCTTGTGACCGGTCCGTAAACGTCTGCTCCTCGATAATTAATATTTGATAGGATGCCACCTATTCGTCGTATTAAAAATCAGATCTGCTCTTGCTGCATTGTATTCAAAAGTGAATATCCCATCTTATGCTGCAGACCTTGCAGATCGCAATGGATGTGATTCAAGTGTTGCTTGTTTACAAAGGCCGAGGAGTCTTCTCGATGTCTTCTTTGTCAATGAGCCTGTCGTACCCCTTCAGCTCTGGTGTAGGGCTGTGGTACGTACTCAATGGTTTGTTCTGGTCCCACTCGGAACCTATCAATGTCCTCTTGGACAGAGTCGGTGATGGGGGGAGGGGTGTGTATGCGAGAGTAAGGGTGGTGGTACCGTTGCTGCTCGCCAGGCATATCCCTAAGCATGGTCCTCCTGCTTTGTAGCCAAGGAAGGAACAGTCTTGAGGGAGCCACGCGCTCTCGTCGATCTCCTTCTGAGATTGAAGAAGAGCTTACGCTCGATTCAGTGCTGACTATTGTTGAGGATGCTATTGGATCCTCCGCTATTTCTCCGGTTTCCACGTACTCCAATGAATCTTCTTCTTGCTCCCGAGTTTCTTCAAGTCCTTCTGCAAGTCCTAAGAAATTAGGGCGAAGACAATTGTCTTCGTAGGTGGGAGGTTGGGGCAAATAGGATGGTGGTGGTGGCGAGTAAGGAGGGGCTGCTTCTCTCCTAAACTCGTCAGCTAGTGGGTGATGATGTGGCGCTTGGCTCAAGTTGAAGTCGTTCGGGTCGCCGCCCGATTTCTCTGTATGAGCTCTTTCGACTACTCCTGTAATCAAATCATTCTGAACCGCAGCTAAAATAAGCTCGGCTTCAGGTCCTCCAACTCTCTGCCAGAGTTCTTCTTCGGATCAGCTTCTGGCAATCTCGACTAGTTCCGGGGAGTCGGCAACTCGTCGCAAGATGTCACAGTTTTACATATATTTTTCCTATTTTTATTACATTTTCTACGCCTTTTCTATGGCTATTGGAACATATCTTT